GAACTCACTGATTAGCTAGTCCAGGGTCTCCCTGAGCCCAGAACTCACTGATTAGCTAGTCCAGGGTCTCCCTGAGCCCGGAACTCACTGATTAGCTAGTCCAGAGTCTCCCTGAGCCTGGAACTCACTGATTTGCTAGTCTAGGTAGTCGGCTTGCTTCAGTTTCCTCTGTCTTCATTTCCTGTATGCTGGGGTTGCAGGCAGACCACCATGTCCACCTAGAACACACATGGACTCTGTGGATTTGAACTCTGGTCCTCAATTGCATGTATACCTGTGTGCACACATGCACAAAACATGCACACACACACCCCACCAAAAACATACACAGAAAAAAATCCTTAAAAACAAACAAACAAAAAAGAGAATGAAGTTCTACTGATATCAATCAGTATTCTAATGCCTTTAATTAAAAAACACACCTTTGTGTTGACCCAGAAAACCAGATTCAAACACATAACTACAGTTCTGATCATCTTAATTTTTTTGAGATTTATTTGTATTTTATTGTATGAATTTTTGCTTGCATGTATGTACATGTGCTACGTGCATGCCTAGTGCTTGCAGAGGTCAGAAGGCATTGGATCCCCTGGAACTAGAGTTAATAGATAAGTTCTGAGCCACCGGATGGGCACTGATCCTCTGCCAGTGCAACAAGTGCTCTTAACCGTGGAGCCCTCTCTCCAGACTCACGTTCCATCATTCCGACAGCAAAAGAGCTTGCACATAGCACGTGACAGCACAGAACCAGCAGTCCTCATCTGCTCACTTAAAGCCCATGGAATCTACACCCCATGAAGGCCCCAGAACAGCGCTTGCCTGCAGGGCTTACCTGTGGGTGCTGAGTTCAGGGGCAGACCCAGGGTCCTTCCTGAGAACTGTGGGAGGGCAGAGGGCCAGGAGTGCTGGGGAGGGAGTCTGGCACCTCCCTACTTCCCTGCTGCTTCCAGCTCTCACCCCACATAGATCTGTGCGTGTGTGTGTGTGTGTGTGTGTGTGTGTGTGTGTGTGTGTGTGCGTGCGCGTGCATGTGCGTGCGCACGCCCATGTAGTCCAGGCTGCACGAGCATGTACCCCACACACCCAAGCCCACTCATCACCTTGTCTCACCACCTCCTGTGCCCCAGGGTTCTGGGTCTGCAGTGTTCAGAGCTGGGGGCCGGGGCTCCTCTAGTTCCCTTCTGAGCACATTGAGGATTCTCCAGGACCCCACAAACTCAACTCAGATTGGAATTAAACCCCTTTCAAGCCAGCTCCATGGACGGGGATCACTGTCCAGGCAATCTAAACCATTCCCCTCCTCCACTCATTCTCAGGTCTCACTGAAGGTGGGGTTGGGCAGGTGGTTTCTGTAGCCAGAACTCAACTCACCATGGCCAGGATAGGCTCTCACATCTCCGTGAACATCCCCTCTCTGCCTAAGAAGGGAGGGGTTGAGGACCCACATTCTCCTATTCTGGGGTCCCTGGAGCTGCTGCCACAGAGGCTCTGCAGTCACTAACAAGCCCCCCAGGGCCAGGCTGGTGCTGTGAGGAGTGCTCTCTCCTGGAGCTAGACACCCCAGGGTCTTCTTCCCCAGCACCCAGCCCTGAGCCTCACAGTAGGGAAGGATTAATTGGAATCCCCCTTTGGGGGCAGCAGTCACAGAACATCCCTCATTCCATCCCTTCTCCCAGTTTGCAATGAGTGCCACCTCAGCTGTGCAGGGCTGCTTCCCAAAGACCTGCGTTTGTCGGGGGAAGAAGTAGATGACTTCATATTGTTACTCAGGATGCTCGGGACAAATTTAGGGTCCCACAACACTCACACGCTTGCTCTTTTCAGATACTTTTAGTCCTGTAAATAATCTCAGGAAACTCTCTGGTTCACTAAGCTAGACCGGGGTGGAATTGTTTCTCCACGTTGCTCTTAGTGTCTCATCTGGGGTAAACTGTCACTTATGTCTTTCCAAAAAAGTCACAATAATTAATGCCTGAGGAGAGACTGACAGAACCAAGGACAAGTTGAGCAGTGGTTGCATGGCCCACGCAATGCGTGCTGAGACCTGGGGCTGGGGCTGATCTCTGAGAAGGTGGAGGGTCCTCAGAGGCAATCCTGATATGACTGCCTTGCTCCATGTGTTGTGGGATGGTGTATCTCCTTACTGTAGTGGTGCCCACATGCTCCCTGGGATGAGTGATTGAACGTGCAACCAAACTGAGCTGTCTGGGAGTGGAAACGAGTCTCTGATGGACTGGCTACTCAAACCATGAGGGGTAGTTGCTTATTACTATTGGTGAAATTATTAAGGCCACTCCACATAGTTAAAAGGGAGGTTTATTTTGTGGGGTAACTTACAAGTGAATGGATAGTTTACAGAGTCTGGGAAAGGCGTGGCACAGTCTGGCATTGTTCTATGGAGAACTCTGCTCAGTCTACCTCCAGCGTCCAGGGTCCAGACACTAAGAGAGCCCCTGCATCTGGAACCTGCATCTTCAGCGTCCTCTCTCATCCCTGCCTTATAGGTGTGACCGTTAGCAAAGCCTCAATGGGGGTTGGAGCTTCCAGGTCAAAGCTGGAATGGCTACCCACTACATCTCCCCCTTTTGTCTAAATAAGAAGGTTCTAACCTAATACAAGACTATATACAAAGGAATGGTTATCAAGTAGGTAGAGGCAGGTGGATCTGGAGTTCGAGGCCAGCCTGAATGGTTGGTGACTTTTTTATAGCATGTTATGATATCATTCCTAGAAACATGCGTTCATTTGTATTCATTTTTTGAGAGTGTAGGAATTTTAATCTGGGTATTTCACTGTTGTAAGAGATCTCAGCCCCAAAGATTTACTGCTACATTTGTTACATATGGCTTTAGCCTTCCTCTCTGTCCTTCTGGCCCTATGCATTCAACCCATCTCGAACTCTGTTTTATCTGATATAGGGTTCCAGTCCCTAGAAGTTGGACATCTACCTCTTGAAGAGACCAATTCGGATGCCATGATTTTGGTATAATAATAGTCACATCTGCACCTGTGTCTACCAAGCCTTCCAGAACCAGGCCATTAATTAGAATTCTAAGCTTTGGTCTTTGTTCATTTATAGAAGTCTGCCAAAATATTTGTTTTATTGTGTTCTTTGTAAACTGTGATTCATCTATCAGAGCTGTTTTATCATCCATTGCAGTATCAGTTTTTACATTAGGCATTGGTTTATTTAGTTGTCCTGGAGAGGACTTTCTTCCACAGTGGCTGGGAATGTTCGTACCATGTTTGATTTGGGGACCTGCAAGAGGCCCCCTGAGGCATTTTCCACCAGTAAAGGGTTGCCTCGTATATCTATTTTTGATCTGCACTCTCTGGTCCAATGTCAGCCTTTGCCACATCT